AAAAAGCGGTTCTACTTTTTGATAAAGGTCAAAGTGTTAACTCAGTGCAAAAAATATGCAAAGTTATAATAAGCCATCATATGATGTTTTCATTGTTAACAGCTTGATGTTGAGGGGGTTTTTTAAACAAGAAATATGATAGTATCAAATTCTGGATTAAAATGAAAGGTGGGCTTTTGGGTTTGTTTGGTGTCCTTTTTTGTTTGTTTGTTTTAAGCTTTTAATTCTTCACAAAGCTACCAGTATATTATGAAACCATTTTCACATTTAGGATTTTTATATGTATATAAATTATATTATATGTTATATTAGCCTTAACTTCCTTTAATTTTATGGAAAAGAACCAGTCCTGAGGGTATTTTTATAATTTAATACACTTTATTCCTGTGAGGCTAAGTAAAATCGGTCCATGAATCAAAATCTTAGCAGTAGAACCTGTTCAGCTACTTAACTGTCTGTCTTGGGACTAACCAGATGCAATTATAACTGGCTTAAAAGTTCTGACCTTTTCCTTGCTTATTTCAAAATGATTCTTTAAAGACTATTAAGCTATGTGTTCAATATTTGTCCTACTGTCTAAAAATATTTTAAAACAGGGTTTGGGCTGTTTGTTCTGTTTTGTTTTTAAGTAGTTTGAGAAAGTTTCTCTGCTACTTGTTCCTCCTGCAAATTTTATAGGAGTTCAAATTCCCCAGGAAAATAAGGGTTTTTGTAGGGTTTCTTTAATTGAAAAAGTATCAAAAAGGTCCCTAAAGGTATACAATTGCCTTAATTTTGATTTAAGTTTTCCTTATTGTATAAATTATCTGAAAATTTTTGTTTTGGGTATCCTGTTTGTATTTAATAATCATTGTTTAAAATTATCTTCTGTGTATAGTCAATAGCACAAAAAGATTCCACATTACCCAGAATACTGAATTATTTTCAAATAAGGTTCTGAGTATGAATGAGAAACAGTTTTTGGGAATTGGGCACTGGTAAATCCATCATTTTCAGATAACTTTCTAAGTGGTCATTCATTCTGTGATATTTAGAGTAAAATGTGAAGAATATGTAAAAATATCCTGTTGCTCATTCATATACTGCAGCCTTTCTTTCTCTTACACTCTGAGTTACTGACAGCGGTGATCCTTCCAAGCTCTTGTTGTGTTTTTATACACATAGAGCCTACTGATAAGAGTGGGATTTATAGTATCATGAAATCATACCATATATATATATACACCTTAAACTTTTTTCATGCATCTCAGGGAACTTTCCATATCTCTGCATCACATTTTTTTTTTAGTTCCATATATAAATGTACCATAGTTTCAATTTGTAGGCGGTCCTGCAAAATACAAAATATTTTGATATATATATGGTGTGACGGTGTGACTCTTTCTGCAGGACCGTTTGTAAGTTATAATTGCTGTGTCAGGGAACATGTCTATTTAAAGTACTTATACATACTGCTAAAATTATTCTCTGCAGAGTCTTTGCCAGGTCATACTTTCATTAGCAGTGTAGGAAAGTGCCTGTTTCCTCACATCATGGCCCCAGGGCATTACCATTCATGTGCATTTTTGCTGATCTGATGGTTGCGAAGAAGTATCTTTTTTTAATTTTCATTCCCTTGTCTAAGAGTGAAAATATCTTTTCACATTTTCATTGCTTTTCTTTCTTTCACTTTTATTTTTTTGATTGCATGTTCGTATCCTTTGCCCATATTTCTTTTGGTTTGTTAATTTGTTCTTACTGTTTTCTAGGGACTTATATATATTTTGGATTTTTTTTCTTTCTACCTTATGTGTGTTGCAAATATTTCCTCCTAATCTGTCATGTGTTTTTAAATTTTATTTAAAACCATTATGTAATCTTTTATAACTTAGTGGGTTGGTTCTTTCTTAGGAAGGCCTATTCCATCCTCATTATTATAAATACATTATACTAAATACATTATCTTTTAATCTTTTAAAACTATATTTTATTGGGGGGAGGGTATAGCTCACTGGTAAAGCACATGCTTAGCATGCACGAGGTCCTGGGTTCAATCCCCAATACCTCTATTAAATAAAATCATAATAAATAAATAAACAAACCTAATTACCCCCCCAAAGAAGATTTTTTAAAATGACAAAAAAAAAACGCCTCTGAATTTTATCAAAGCTAAGAAATGCCACTGATTATACAACACCAGAATTTTATATACGAGAAGGAAGAAAAAAACCTTGAAAAATGCACAGAGTAACTACTCATCATTTCAAATTTTACTTGTAGTTACCTAAAGATCTCTTTTAAGACATTTATTCTGATCATTTTCTTTAATTCATAAAACTTATACAAAAAGGAAAGTCTGTTCTATCTGTTCTTTATCTTTATATTAACAATCAGATCTTGGGTGTTCCCCTGAATTTGTCACTCATTTTAATACATCTTTCATTATTACTGTCTGAGTATTCATAAATATCACAGTGTATATGGAACACCTGTTATGGTACGAGTACTTACCTAGATACTTTCATCATGTTCTCTCTCATCCTTGCAGCAACCCTTTAGCATAAGTGTTATTAGTGCATTTTACAATTGAGGAAACTGAAACTCAGAATAAGTTAAGTTGCTTATAATCACAGAGCAGTTAAAGTGATGGAGAGTCCTGACTTCAGAGCAGTTGCCCTGGGTACCTTAAGTGGTTCATATATGCAGGATGTGGGGCTGAGACTTGTGGAGATTAAAAAAAATAAATACATGGGAGAGACCTACCTCAGATACACAGTCAATCTAGAGTGGAACATCTATAATTTTTTTAAAACATGATATTAAATGTGAGATTCTAATGTTCATCCTTTCGGAACCAGTGTGCGCTATGCTGCCAAGTAAATGTTCCTTTTTCCTTTTCTTATTGTTAAGTTTGCTGATATTCTTTGGCTCCTGTCAATTTTCATATTGTTATAGTTTTAGAATCAATAGGATTTATAATTGGGCCTTCACTCTAAGGTGGGAAATAAATGCAAAGATACTAAGAATTTTGCATAACCATTCTCTACATCGGTATGTTAAACCTAAACCACAGAGATTATAGTTGCACAGTAACCTTGGGCAGAGTCATCTACATTAGAATCCCAGTCAGTCTTAATAGCTGTCCACCTTGAACCTTTATGTTTTTTAAAACTGCACATATAATAAGAATGATAGAGTTTTGAAGAGTCTCAGGGCTGACATTAGACAGACTAGTCCAAGTGCTGAGAAGACTTAATGTAGCCATACTGTACAGGGATGTGTAACTGTAAGGGCTGGAGGTAGAGCTCTGGGTAGACCAGAGTACAAGTCTTTTCTAAAGTTGTGTGGCTGTCCTGGTATTTGAATTCATGCCTTGTGTCTATTTTTAGATGTAATAGGTTGAGTATGTTAAGAAGCAGTGTTCATAAAAGTTGACAAACCTGTTTTACTTGTTTCTCAATCTTTTCAGATCATTGCTTATAAAACACTGATATTTACAGTAAATATCTCATTTTAAATACAGGCTAACCCTATCAGATCGTGTGTCCTTGTGCTGCACTCATTTAATGACTTCGCCCTTTGGTAAGTTGACATATGATTCGAGGTAGCTTCCAGTGATGGAGAGTTTGAAGGAGCTAAAGGGAAAAGCAGGAAAAGAATAACATTTTCAGGGAAAAGTGCTCATACAACTGACAGGCCCTCAGGAGAATAAAGGATCTCTGTCTTGGTTATGTGACCTTTTGCTAATTCCTGAAGCATACTGACTTGATATTCCTTGCATGTGAATGAAAGTATTACAATCTTATAAGCCCCTTTACCTCTGACTCCATCCAGTGATCTCTTTTATTGTGTGTTTGTGTGTGTCAGTAGCTCACAATATTTAGCAGGTAAAGTTCTAGGTTAAACCACCTGGATTCATCTGTAAAATGGGGTTACCTATCTCCTAATTTGTAAGATAATTTAATTAGATAATCCAGAGACTCAGTACACCACCTGGCACATACTAAGCCCTCAGGAAATAACTCACTCTGCAAAACTCAGTTCATTTGTCAAGTCTTAATATTATCTGGATCTTGGGCCTCCTAGGTAAAATTGGTCTTCTCTTTGTGCCATAAATGTGTCTTCTACAAACTTCTAGTTCAGCGCTATCACTAGTGCTAAAATTATCACTAATTTATCTTCATGTATAGTTCTCAGATTATAAGCTTCTTGAGGACAGAAACAGATTTATTTATCTTCATAAATTCAGTATCTGATATGATAAATTTTGTTGAAAGAATAAAATTTTATTCTTGTTTTTACATAGGGTCCCCTCCCTCTCTCAGTGGGAAGATGATTCTGGAGCAAAGGTGAGCAGTAGAAATGTTCTCAAAAATCATGCTCGTGTTCTCAAATCACTTAAAAAAATAAAAAATTAAGCAGCTATTTAATTGCCACTACTCCCAAGGATTAGATCAGTTTACTTCTTCACAGTGTTTTTCTTACAAAAAATTAAAGTAAGAAAATGACTACCAACTGGGGAAAACTGTCCACTAAATATGAATAAAAGTGCCGTGATCAGAACTGTAGAATGGCGGTATAAAAGAGTTGCTCTTGGAACTGAAGCAGGCTCTGCTACTTTCTAGCCGTGTGACAGTGATCCAGTTCTTTTCTCTCCGACTCTCCGGAGTGGGCATGCTTCATGTCACATGTTGTAACAGTAAGAAAAATAGACTACAGGGTGTGAAGGGTTGAGCACAAGTCTTTTCTAAAGTTGTTAGAATGACTAATAGGAGATAATATTCATATAGAACTAGCACTGCCTGCTTAATAGAAGACAGTTATTTCTTGAACAGAGTTAGTTTCATTTGCTACTGTACCCTTTAAATTTGAGAAAAGTCAACTTATTTTACCATATACACAATTATCTGCTGTTAGAAATGTTTAAATTAGTTGTACCCTTGGTTGTATGTGAAAAACAGAACTGAAATGTTAAGTAGTGACCAAGCCATTATACTTCCATCATGCTGGTGGTGTAGGGAAGAGTAAACAGGTCAAACAGCAAAGGCATACCCAAGAATTAAGCTGCATCATTAAAGGTTAATATCTTCTCAGCATAGAAATGCAGGTCTCTACTTTGTTCTACTCTCTACAGTTAATTTTTGATAACTTGAGTCGCACTGAAAACATTAGAGCCATCTAGGTCTTCATCAATTGCATTTTCCTTATAAAAGGTAGAAGTGTACAGAGAGTTATTGTCAGCACTACTAGAATACAAATAAAATTGGCTGAATATTAGATGCCTTTCAGTCTAGTGGTTATGGTATGTGGACCTTTGTTGCCTGTGAAAGCTTGTCCAAATCATTTCCCAGTTAGCATGTTTTAAAGGAACCCCTCAAAATCCCCCACTTACAATTTCTCCTTTTCCTATTACTGGCTTTCTACCTTCATATCTTTGTACTAAGTAAACATATTTTTCCAGCTCTCAGTTTGTATTTTCCTCACTTGTTCTACTTTTCAAAGTGTGTCAGTGATTGAGTTTTACTAGAGTGTAATAAAAAACTGTAACAGTAGTTAAGATGGTGGGGTTTTTTTGTTTTTGTTTGTTTGTTTTTGTTTTTAACCTTCTCACACAGTTTGTTTCCAGGAATCTTGGTGGCATGGCAGGCTTAACTAACATAAATCTTGCTACCACCACCATCCCATAGCTCCAGACACATAAAGATGTCAAATAAAACAACAGATACACAGCTGACTGCAAACGAAAGGAAATCTCAACTGCCAGAAATGAAGAGAAAACAAAGTCAGGGTGGTAAGCCTGTGGAATTGTCATTGACTAGGACCCTCACCAGTGAACTGAGACTTTTAACAGCAACAGACATGACGTGACAACTCAGGGAAGGTGGGACTGAGTCCTCTGCAGGGAGCGAGGACCCTAGGTGGTATTGCTGCCTCAAGAAGCTGGAGCAGAGCTCTGCACAGCAGCCTGGGGGCTCCAGAGGTGCTTTTGAACCTGTGACTGGGTGGAGGAGAAGAAAATGTCCATAAGGAAGAGTTGAAATGTACATTACGGTCTTGCTCTCAGAATATTCAAGGTTAGCTTGAAAATTGTGAGCACCTCCTTAATGTGCTGGGCACAGTAAGGTGCTGGTGGTAAAGCAATGCATAAAACAGAAATTTCTGCCCTCTTGGGGCCTCTTCTAATACTGAGAAAAAATTTATTAATGTATATATCAGACACACTTAAAGATAATTTTTGAAATGACAGAAGGAATAAGCTAGAATACAGCATAAAAGAGACGGAAAAAATGAAAAATTAACACATGGAAGATCCAATATACATACATATATTTTTAAGAGTTTTAAACAGGAGAAAACAGATTGGGGTGGGGGTTGGGGGCGGTGAGTCAGTTGTGAATTGACTTAAGCTAATATATTCATGTACAACCTTTGTTAGTGTACCCACTGAACACCCACCCCCACCTCCTCCCAAAGTCTACACACTTCTTGCCCCAGATCACCCTCTAACAGCCAGGTTATACTGAAGCCAGTTTCACACCAACAACTTCTGTCACCAATACGTATATAAACTAAGCACGAAAACAGTTCTTAACGCCTGTTCTGCAGGCTTAAGGAATTTGTTCTCTGCCCTTTGATATACTCTAGCCACCACCTTGCCTGAAAGTTTCCTTCATGAATCAGAATTCTGTTACCCTAAATGAAACCTGTGCTCATGGCTGGACAGATGAGCTTTTAGGGAATTGTATTAGGGCATCTTCCCAAAGGGTAAAGGTACAGACCAAAATGGATTCTTTGACCTGTTCTTGCAAGGGTGGAGTGGGAAGTGCCATATAGTCTTGAAAACCTTTAATTTCATCATCAGGGACCAATTTTTGAAGTTCATCATTCTAGTTAGCAGGCCATAGTTTTCACCAGTAAAAATTTCTGACATTTAGTATGTGTATTAGCAAAGCATTGTCTGTTGGTTAAGAGACAGACAACAGTACCTAGAAAAGCTTCCTCTGGATTATGACTCCTTTGATGAAGAGTGTGAGCTGATTGTCCTGGACTACTCTCTTGATCAGAATTCTAGCAGGACCGAAGGTGATGGCTGTGTCATGTGCCACAAATGCTGGAGTATTTAAATGTAAATTACAGCCATCAACAGCTATATTGGAAGAGACAAGTGGCTAAGGAGTTTCTAGAATTGATAAAAGACATATCAGGAATGATACTTGTCTTGTAATGGAGCCAAAGTAAGAGTGGTGCTTAAACCGTTGGGGTTTACTTTTCTTTCAGGTGTTGGCTGTGCAGGTGTCCGGTACAGTAGCTCCACAAGGTCAGTGGGGCCCCGGCCTTTTCTGTTCTTTATGATCCACCGTCTTCAGCATCGAAAGATAGTTTCAGTGCTTCTGTCCTCATCAAAAGATGGTTTCTGTCCTCATCGAAAGATGGTTTCAGTGCTTACATTCCAGACAAGAAAGCAGGGGCAAAAGCAAGGTATACTACAAATATGATGGCAAAATGAAGACTTTCCAGGAAAAACTAGAATTTGCTACCAGTAGGCATTCACTGGAGAGTGTGGTAAAGGCTGTTCTTGAAGCATAAGCAAAATGATCCCAGGTGAAATCCAAAAATGCAGGAATAGATGAAAAACAATGGAGATGGTCAATATGTGTGTTGTTATTAATTAAATGTGGGATTTAAACTATCTGTAGAATTTAAATGCATCATATAATAAAGACAAGGAGAGTAAATGGAGTTAGTGCTCTGAGGTTCTAGCAATCAGTAAGTGGTAAAATTAATACTGTTACTAGACTACAGTCAAGGATGCATGTTACAATCTCTGAGTTAAACATTGAAAGAAGAACAGTAGAATGTGTATCAGTTTTACAGAGGGTAAAGTGTAAGAAGGCAAGAATAAAGGAACATAGAACAGGTGGGTCATATTTTTAATTGCAAAATATAAACGCAAAGTGATTCATTACTTGAATTAAAGTTGAAAAAGTATTAGCTGAACCAAGAATACCCTACGACATGCTTCTTACAAGAGACCCAACTGTAAGACCACAGAAATGTTGAAAATAAATGCATGGGAAAAGAGACATCAGGCAAACAGCCAGTGAAAATGGTGTGACTATAGTTTTATCAGACAAATTTAAGGCAAGAAGCATCACTTGAGATAAACAAGGACATTTTATAATGATAAAGGAATTAATCCACACAAACCACATAATCCTAAATATGTTTGCGCCTAGAACAAATGTAAAATATATAAAGCAAGAATTACACAAGAGGGGAATTAAGTAAATCTGTAATCATAGTTGGAAACTTTTTCACAGCTTTTGCAATATAGAGTTTTTGCAGCTGATAGAACATTCAGACCAAAAGCAAAAAGGAAAAAAAAAAATCAGAATACAGATGAACTGAACAGTACAATCACTAAACTGCAGCTGATTTACATATGTTGAACACTTAATCAAAAAGGGTTAATTCACATTTTCTTCAAGTTGTTTACCAAAGCCTTCATTCTGGATTCTTTAACACTGGAATTAAGCCAGAAACTAGTGACTTAAAGATGGCTAAAGAAACCCCCAACAGCTTGGAAATTATGTAATACATTTCTGAACAGTCCCTAGGTCAAAAAAAGTGAAATTTTAAATATTTTGAAGTGAGTAAGAATGAAGATACCAAAACTTGTTTCAGCTAAAGCAGTGCATGTAGGGAAATTTATAGCATTAAGTGTGTATATGAGAAAAGAAGCAAGCCTGGAAGTCAATGACTTAAACGCTTATTTTCAGGAAACTAGAAAAAGAAGAACAAGGGAAAATAAAAGTTTAAAAGTCAGTGAAATATACAACAGAGAAAGTCAACAGCTAAACGGTCCATTCTTTAAAGTAATAACAATGACCACTACTGTTTAACATAACATTTAAGATCCTAGCCAGTGAAATAATTGAAACAAAGGCATAGGTTTTGAAAGGAGGAAATAATACTGTTTATAGATAACTAGTTAATGTGCGTAGAAAATTCAAAATCTGTGAACAAAATAATTTATCAAGGTCCCTGGAAACAAAGTCAGTATAGAAAAACCAATTTATGTTAGAAATAAATAGAAATTGTTAAAATGATACAGTTTACCCTAGCATAAAGCACCAAATACCTAAGAATAAATTTTTGAAAGAAAATTACAATATTGAGAGAAATTTGAAAAGATATAATTAAATGTATGGATATGTCATGTTCATAACTTGGAAGGCAATTTTATAAATTGTTATCTAGCTTCACTGTTATGCTATCAAAATCCCAGCAGTATGTTGGGGAAATTAACCAGCTGACAGAAACGCAGAAGACCAAGACTATCCAAGATAAATGAACAACAACAAAACAAAATCTTTCACCAACATATACTAAGACCTGTTATAAAGCTGTAGTTATAATTATGACTGTAATTATATGGTTGACATAAGAATAGACAAATAGATCAGTGTAACAGAAAGCCTGGCACAAATCCACAAATACAAATCTTCTGATTTATGACCAAAGGACACCCTTGTGATGGGTGAAAGGAAAGATTATTACTATCCTGACAAATTATTTTTTCAATAGAAAAGACATGTCGGAAAGAAAATATGAATAAGGATAGAGTTAAGATTTTTTTCAAGACAAATTTATGTGGATAATGTAAATTTATGTGGATAAATTCGAAATTTTGAATATTTTTTAAATTGTGGGTCATCATGTACATATAAAAATAGGTAAGTCTAAATCTGTTTTTTAAAATCTACTCCAAATGATCCATCAGCTGTAGATGATTTATAGTGTGGTGTGTTAAACCTTCAGGAAACAATCTAAAATACTGTAAATACTTTAAGAGAAATTAAGGAAGGGAAGAAGAAGGAAAAGGGAACAGCTAATTAACATGTCAATCATTAATATTCATTGAACCCTAATGACAAGCCAGACATTCTGCTAAGTGCTTTATATGGACTGTATCATTTAGTACTACACAATTCCACAAGGAAGGTGGCACAAAATTATCTTTCTTGCTTCGATGAGGAAACTGAAATGAAAGCTGAAGGTCTGTTTGAAGATTCCACTGTCGGGGAACCGCAGAGCTGCAACAGACATCCAGGTATGTGATCCAGAAGGAAGAAGATTGAGATGGAGATGACGAAGAGAGGACAGACACTTACTCTTACCCACTCCCAGTCATACCAGGCTATGGGCAGTCCCCGCGCGTGATTACTACACTCTTTTCTCTGTTCTCCAATTAGTGCTTTTAGTGAAGGGAAAAAAGGAATAAAAATAACTTTACTATAAAAAGAAAGTGTAACTGTGAGGTTATTTGTTAATTACCTTGATCAGAGTAATTATTTATGTATATGTATATCAAATAACCATGTGTACGCCTCAAGTGTGTACAGCTTTTATTTAAAAAGAAAACAGTTTTGCACAGTGGCAGTATCATAGCCAAGGAGGTTTATCTGAGGTGTGATTATTGCTAACTGAAAATTTTCCCAGTCCCCCGCCATGATGACTTGAAATACAGTCGGCATTGGGAATTTTTCACAGTCTCTACGGAGACTAGAAAGCAAACAAACAGAAACAGCACCAAGGCTGGAGACACGAGTCGGTGCTTAGGAGTTTCCAAAATCTGGAAAATCACATTGACGTTTTTACTATAAAACTAAGTTTTAGCTCTAGTTTTCTTTTTAATGTCTAATTTTAAAACATTCAGCTATATTTGAAGATGTTAATACAGTTTATGAACTACCACTGCTCCTACTTTGGGTCCTACCTCCACTTTTCACAGTTATCTGACTTATGTCATAACTTTGACATTCATTCGCACAAAGGTTATAGTTCAGGTGAAGAAAAAGTGTGTATAGGAAAATAATTTGACAGAAATTTCCTTTATATGTAATAGCAGAAAAACAACAGAGCAAGTTCCTTCTTGTGATAAAATACATATCCTCAAATTTAATCTCTTTTAAGACCTTTGCTTTAATCTGTTAGTATCCAACACAGGTTTTATATTTAGTTTGCTAGATTGTAAATTCACTTTCCTTATTAAGAAAGGCTGAGGTTTTATAGTCCTGCTTTTAAATACATAATTTTTAAGTCCCAGTGGTTAGCATTATAGATGGATTTCCTTTTTAAAGAGAGTCACATATTTTACGTATTTCTAATTACATATTTTTATTTCTGAAAGAAGTTACCTATGTCATTGTCCCCCTTGTGTGTTGTGTATGTGTACAGTAACATCGAAGGGATGCTTCCTTCAGCAGTGTTTGAAGTAACAGAGAAAAGTACTTTACACGAGCTTATCACAAGAGCCTCCAGGCAAACCCAGCCTACGGCGCAGGAACTAAGAGTGGTTTTCCGTGCACGCAGGCTTGACTTGGCAGCTCTGGCTTACTCAAGTCCTGCACATTCCAAAGATAAGTCTGTCCCTTGACCAGCTCCTGGGAGATAACCTTTCAGCCCTTGGAATATCCTGCCTCATGTGAGTGCCTGTGTGTACTTGGCGCTGTGAGTCACATCAGATGATTTATGCTAACAGGGGTTTCTGGTGTGGGCCTGGCACCCTGCAGGGGCGGTCTGATCTCTGGAGGAGCTGGAAACAGTAACCAAGGTTAGCCACGTGAGTGCTCCATACCTGTAGAGCTGACCTTCAGAGAAGCCCTGGACATGAAGTCTCAGGTGAGTTTCCCTGGTTGACGATACCCTATAAGTATTGCCCCACATCATTTCTGGGAGAATTAGGGGCTGCGCGTTCAACTTCCCTAGAGAAGACACCTGGAAGTTTGTACCTGGTCTCCTGGACCCTTCCATAGGTGCCTTTCACATTTGCTGATTTTACACTGTATCTTCTTGCTATAATAGATTGTAACTGTCAGCAAAGCCACTTTTTCAAGTTCTGTGAGTCTTTGAACTTTGAGTGGTCTTGGGGACCCTGACAACATTTAAAGGATTATTTTGGAAAAAAAAAAAAGAATATGCAATACGGACCATATGTCCTGTGAAGCTTGAAGTATTTGCTGTCTGGTCCTTTGCAGAAAACTTTTGCCAGCTCATACAGAAAGGTAGCAAATAACCTGTGTTATTTTCATACATTGGAATCTTAACAGTTAAAATGGATGAATAACAATATACATCTCAAACTGCTTTAAGTGAAAAGAGCAACAAGGATGAAACAGTATGATACTATTTATGTAACTTGACTATTACTATGAGTAACTGTGTGTGTAAATCATGAAAGAATTACTAAGGAGGACATCCACAAACTTCAGAATAGTCGTGAGCTCCGGGGAAAAAGTGGGATGGAAGTTAAGACTTATTGGTCAGATTTTCATTCTTAAAAAGAGAGATTCAAGGAAAAAAATTGATCTCGTAAAACAAATGAAAAAAGGTTTTATTTTACTAATATTTTTAAATTATTTCCCTAAATCAGCTTAGCTTGGAATTATAGAATGATTGTGCTAAAGACCTCAACTGCTTCAAATTCCTCAAGTTCTCTGTTAAGAAACAGGTCTTGGTAGGTGAATTGCCCAAGGTCATGCTGAATTATTAACCAAGAGGTTGTTCTATAAGGAAGTGTGTTAGTGCTGGCAGGGTCAGTTATTTTGAAGTGTAGAAATTTGAAAGTTGATTCTCTAGAGAAGAAGGGCTATGCTATACAAAGTGTAGAGCACTGAGAGATGAGGTGAGTAAGGAAGAAGGAAACGTTCTGACAGTTCATACAGCCGGCTGTTTTACAAATAGTAAAGCATTTCTGGGGGGTTAATTTTCTTTATGTTGAGGGCAAGCTGCTAAATCCACCTTAGCATTTTTTAAATGCTTTCTAAACTCTAAATTAGAGTAAAGGGTTGCTAATATGAATCACACTGAATTCAGGTTTCTAGTATATAAAATTTAATGATACCTTCCCTGCCAACATTCAGGGATTACTGGAAGAATCGAATGAGATGATAAACATTTTTTTAAAAAGGAGAAACCTCTTATAAATGTTAAAATGCTATGTAAATGAGACTTATAAAAAGTATTAACATCACCCTGACTGTGATGACACTCATGTGGGCTAATTATAATTGTGAAGGGAGAAAAAAAAATGCTTTCTTGGTTTCCTGAGACCAGAGGCAAGCTCTGTCAGCTATGAGGGAAAGTGATTAACATTCATTTAGCTTTTTCTTTGTAGCCCGTGCCAGGTTACAGGAGAGATAAGAGAAGAATAAGACATAGCTCCTGCCCTTTGTTTCCAATTCACATTTATTGAGCCTCTACTCTGTGTTAGGTGGAGAGGAGCTAAGAACTTAATATGTTAAATATCCTCATATTTGCCTGACAAGGTATTACCCTTTTTTCTCATATGGAAACTGAGGCCCAAAGATGTTAACAAAATCTAATATCTCCAGAGCTTGCATTTGAACCCATTATTTCTGACTTCAAAACACCTGCTTCAAAAAACAATCTACAATACAAGAAGGCTAGGATGCAAATGCTATTAAACAGTCTGGTGAAGAGAAACAGTATTAGAGGAGACAAGTGAAAGCAGAGACTAGGGTGGGCAGGAACAGTTAGGGGAGGCTTCTCGAAACAGGTGGGACTTTTAGGAGGCCCTGGAGAATAGCTGGAATTGGATAGGTGAAGAAGAATGGATGCTGTCAGCAAAGGAACGTGGTAACTATGGTTATCATTTACTGGGTTCCCTATCTTGTTGGGCCAGTGTGCGTCTTGGAGATGAGAATGCTCGCTGGCTGTGCTGCCTCTGCAGTTGGTCCCAGGACAAGAAATCAAAGTGACTGAACCTCACTGGTGCGGGGTGAGGGGGTTACGGAGACAGCAGCGAGAAATGATGGGAGATTCTTCTCATATCCAGAACCCGAGAACAAGGCCCAGCCTCAGGGTCATCAAAGAGCCTATGCTGTAACACCCATAATTTTGTAAACATACCACGTCAAAGAACTATTTAAACGTTTTGTGAACGGCAGCCGACTTTTTTAAGTCCGTCATTTTATAATTCTTTTTTGTTTTGAGGGGGAGGTAATTAGACTTCTTTTCTTTTCT